GCTCTACCCTCATGACTCATCACCTCCCAAATGCACTCCTACATACTATTCATATTGGGGATTAGGATTTCAACATATGCATTTTAGGGGTATACAAACATTCAGATCAGAGTAATCCCTGCTAAGTAAGGACAGTGCTGCTCAGGCATAGTGCACCAGACTTAACTAGAATATTGTTAAAATGCAGATTCTGATTCAGAACAGTTCAGTGGGGCCTGCAATTCTAATAAACTGCAGGTGATTCTGATAGATACTTCTGAACCTTGGACATTTTTAGTAGCAAAGCTTAGAGGGATATAGGAAATGAGGAAAACTAAAGGGCAGAGTCTGTGTGAGTTGGAGAATGGTTAGAAAGACAAATTTATGGAATTTGAGAATAGGAACAGACAAGTTTCATTTGGGATTGAAATATGAAGAGCTAATGCTGTCTATTTGCAAATACTTGGACAAGGCAGATTGGAATTTGGACACTTGATATTTTGACTTGACAGTCACATAAAAACAGGTTTGGCTAGTAAATGAAAATGGAATATAGGAGGTAGTTTGTAGGTAGAAATTTGAGAACTATTTATTCCCTGCAAGGAATAAGTAAAGCAAGCAAGAGCCAGAGCCATTAACACAGAGTTTATTTCTGCTATCTTTGAAGAGAAAGATAAAAACTAAGGACAATAAGGTTAGTACTGAAACTGGATAAAATTGTAATAAATATTAGATTTTAGAATTTTCGTTTCAAAGGATTATAGCAACTGTCTCCAAAAACAGAGCCACAAAAGATTTAAAATATGCATATTTCTGTTTTAAATTTAATAATAAGTGAAACCCAATGACTAGGTTATCTAACAAGTTAAATGCATTTCTTCTCTTTCCATACCCCATACTCACTTCCCATACCCCATAATAAAACGTGTTTTGAACTTCCAATTTTAAGGAAAAATCATGTGCTTTGTTCATAATAGTTTAGCAAATTAATTCACAAGTAGATGTTCTATGCCAAAGCTGCCATTTTCAGTTTCATATGCACAAATGAAGAGAATGGTTTTGACATGTTATTAATATTGTTGTCTTACCACAAGCCATATGCCAGAATGTTTCTTTTAAAAGGATTTCCAAAGGGCATTGACTTCCAGTAAAATGTTTTTGTTAAATCACAACATTTTAAAGACTTACAGGTTTAAGCCAAGAGATGGGCTAAGTCGTTTGGTAGGAAACAGATGACAGGCATTGACTATTGAATTTTATTCTGCCAACAGTATGACCAGGCAGTGGATGTTGAACAAATAGACTTTTAAACATTTTTTAAAGGCTTTTAAAAGGCATATTCAATGGAGACGATTTTGCCTTCCTCACTGTATTCTTACAATTTGCTGAGGGGGCCCAGTTCCTATTTAAACAATAATCACCTGTCACTGTTCTGAAGACATTCTTTCAAGTCAGTGTTTATTATGTTCATGTACAAAACAGCTGCTATCTTGGAAAAAGTTTATGGACAATCTAGCTATTGTAGTACCAGAATGTTCAAATTACTTTTTCTTCTTCTACATTTTTTTTTTTTTGTGGGGGATAGAATCCAGGGCCTCTGAGTTACATCCCCAACTCTCCAAATTACTTTTTGAATGACAGAATAAATTTGGGTTGGCATTATATGAATTAGGATATGGGTTCCATCTTCTATTTTGGCTTCATTCTCTGCCAGGGCCTGTCTGTTCCTTAAGTCAGTTGTCTTAACTGACAGGTAGAATAAATCATTTCCCCAAGGGGCTACCAATTTTATGAGGAGCTTTAGGGGCAATAAGGTTGGCTATTCAAAATAAAAGGCTTGATATCCAAAATAAAACTTCCTATTTATTGATCAATGTCTTTACCCAACCTTCCTTTAGTTAAGGTTTTGATTCCCAAATGAACTAACACCTTGGGAAAGATAATACAATTGTTTTCTGGTTACAAATCCTTCCAGATGCTTTCTCTAGTCCTATAAATAGGGGAAGGGAGGAGAGAATTTGAAGATACTAGTTTTTTGAGAGTCAATAGAACCTAGGGATTTGGGGGTTGATAAAGAAAAGTGCAGTAGGGGAGGCTAAAATTTACCTATTTTTCACTAGTAGATTTTAACACTCTTTTAAAATGACTGAGCACAGTGTGTGAATTAATGTACAGTCACCATTACTCTAAGATAACCAATAGTACATAGTTGCTAATGATTGTATAGTATATGTCATGTAAAAGCATCACAAAGATATAGCAAAAAGGCTGTGAATCAAGATGCAAGTATCAAAATACTACTACTGATAGTTCCTTGTAAACACTGAGCTTCAGAAACATAAAGGAGACAATATTTATGTAATATGGATTAGGTTGAGCATTAATCATAACCAGGTATGACCATCAAATAGGAAGGTGGGGCAGGCAGTCATCCCAGTGGTCTTCATCTAGGTCCTTGGGCTATAAATACTCTCAGGACATTAACACCTAATATTTTCATAACACTTAGACAAAGCTCATAACACTTAGACATCCATTTTTTTAAAAAACTCCATTAAAATTATTTACTAGATACTGAGCCTCATTTATGAGCAGACTTAGAATTTGAATCATCAGGATGTTAAGTGGTAGAGTTAGTGTCAAATCCAGTGCTTATGCTGCTTCAGAACTCCCATCTGCCTCATAGGATCACAAACATCAGACCAGAAGGCTCTTTTTCAAGGATCCAATTACCCATCTTATTAGCACTGTTTTATACATGTGAGAAATTGCCATACCAGTGACTCCTTTTTTGGGGGGGGTGGGTAGCAGGCATTGAACTCAGGGGCACTTGACCACTGTGCCACACCCCTAACCCTAGTTTGTATTTTATTTAGAGACAGGGTCTCACTGAGTTGCTTAGTGCCTTGCCATTGCTGAGGCTGGCTTTGAACTCATAATTTTCCTGCCTTCCGAGCCACTGGGATTAGAGGTGTGAGCCACTGTGCCCAGCTCAAGTGACCCTTCTTCTTCTTTTTTTAAAAAAATATTTTTTATTAATTGTTGATGAATTTAAAAAAAATTTATTGGTATGTGGTGCTGAGAATCGAACCCAGTATGTCACACATGCTAGACAAGCACTCTACCACTGAGCCACAACCCCAGCCCCCTCAAGTGACCCTTCTTGATGTGGGATATTTTTTCTCTTTCTTTGCTTGGGGAATAGATTCACTTCATAATTTTCTCCTTGGGATTGTTCTACTTCATAATAACAATTCCCACTACAAAGCCACCATCTTGAAAGAGAACCAGAATCTCTTTTCATACCGAAACAAAGGCAAAGAAACTGAGAACCAGCAATTCACACCAGCCTCAAAATTGTAGCAGTTTCTGGGTATCTCCAGAAGCCCCCCTTTACTAGAGAAGGTGCCAATCTGTAGGCATAGTCTTTATGATTCCTTCTCTCTATGGACAAGCTACTCGGTTACATCATGTATTTTTCAAGTTACAAGAAATGTGCAGCTGAACCATAGACTTCTGCAGGGTCAGATCATTTGATTCAACTTTATGGCTGATAGAAACCTGCTTCCACGAGGCTGAGTTCAACACATAAGAGGTGATTAGTGGGGACAATGACAGAAGAGCTGGAAGAATTAACTTTCATTTATTCCAACATTTACTGGGCACTTACTAAATGCCAGGAACTGGAGATACAAATATAACAGTACTTAAACTTCAAGAATATTTTCCATACTCTAGTACAAAACAAATAAAATTCTGTGTGAGGGAGGATAAGGAAAGGTGACCTGTCTTGGCCTAGTGGATAGGAAAGATAGAAGTGGCATTTTAATTAGACCTGGAGAGCTGAGGAAAGGTATGGTCATGGAAAAGCATGCCAGTTGGTAAGTTTGGGGCATGCTACTTCTGTACCCCATCTCCCACATCCATACAGGTAGAACGCTAGAGGTTGGAACCTTTTAGCCCAAGATAAGATTAGATAATCTAGGTATTTAAAAACAGATTCAAGAGTTCCATTCAACTGACAATTTTCAAGACTTAAGAGTGTAATTACTGGATTCAACAAATTTTTATTAGATAATTTAATGGTGGGCTTGGCCTTTAACAAAATTTATGATTAAAACGCTGTAGATGGGAAAATGTTTTATTCAGGTACAGATATTTAAGTATTTATATTCCTTCCATTTTCAGAAAATATTTAAGCATTTTCCCACTAGTTTATAAGTTCATTGTTCAATTTTTAAATTAATGGTGGCAATCATATCAGCTTTCAATAAACTGTTCCTTCTGTAGCAAAGAAATTCTATAGCAGGCTTCTAGATACACAAATAACAATGCAATGATAGTTTTAAATCCCCAGGTTTACATATTTCTTAAGTTTTCTTCAAAAATGAAAATAAAAACCTACAAGTTAAATACATACAGAGTTTAAAAAAAAAAAAAACCATCTTGAGAAAACTCCCAGAGTTAAAAAAACCTTCTGAAAACAGCAATCAATCACACTGCTGAAAGGCTCAACAGTCCTAATAACTCTTGACTGGGAGAAAATAAGAGGTTAAGATGGCTAGACCACAAATTTTTCTACCACCATTTGTTTGCAGGATGATTTATTGGAAACGAGACTAAGAATTTAAGTTACAAACTCTACTTGGACAGATGCCACATCTTACCCTTCTGGGTCTCCTGCACTCAGTACAGGACTTTTAGTTCTCAGCAGATATTCAGAAAATGTCTGTTGAATAAGGAAATGCTTAGCAGACCTTAGAGTCTGATTTGTAAAAATAGCAAACTGCCATAGGCAAGTGACATTTTTAATTTTAAATTAGTTTTCAAAATTAAGAATGTGAAGTCTTAAGTCTACTTGTATTTATGATTACATTTAAACAATTTGAAAACAAACGATTCAAAACCATTTGATAGGCAAGAAAACTATACATATGGCTAATTTAAAAAATGAGGTGAGTTACTTTGTAGTGCTAAATTAAACTTAAGAATTTCAAAATAAAGATACACTTGACCACTAATTAATAGAAAAGTACCCTTTTATTGAGAGGTAAGACAAGTGTATTTACAATAGTCAATTGTTAGATTATATAATAATCTGACTATGAGACTTTTAAAGCAGCAGTATTCTAGGGATTACAATTTATAAGGGGAAAAGAAAAACATTCCAAATATGTTTCTGTTACAGAAAATACATTTGAACAATGACAGAAACACTTAAGGCTAAGTAGTATTAGACCTTTCCTCCATCTCTATGGGAATAATCAAAGTACATTTTTGTCACAAAGACAGAAGGCTGATTTTGTGTATGTGTATGAGGGAGAGAAACAATAGGATAGGGTTTCTGTCAGAAGGCTAGTATGTTTAAAAATAGAGCTCATCAAGGTTCTGTATAAGAAATATACAATGCTGCCAAGCAGTCCAAACTCACATTCGATACTGACTGCAGACTCATTTGAAGATGAAAACTGCTCTAGTCCCTGCAACCATATCAAGGACTAGGATATTATCAAATCCTTTGAAGTCCAATAATGCTTTCTGAAATAAGATTGTTGAAAAAAGGATATCTGTTACAGTGCAAAGAACATTTTGATAGAAATTCATGTCTACAAAGAAGTTAAATGATACAGATGCTCCTTACATTAACATTTACTGTTCTTGCTCTAAAAAGGGAGAAATATCTAGCAATTGCAAATAATATGGGTCAGTCAAAAATATGTATTAAGAGTCCTACAGGGCACCTTATATAAGTCAGTTCTCAAAGTATATATATATATATGAATATATTTGACAATCTCCAAGTGAGGATATTAATTTTTTTGAAGAACATTAGACACAACACTAGGTTTTTTATTATTCCATGAACTATTGAGGTAGGAGTCTCCATTTATCTCATTTTCACAGATTATATAATAAAGTCAAATGCAAGTACCAAAAATGACAGTAATCCACAAGACTGAACCATTACACTATATACCAAGTCTTTCCTTCTGCAGATAAGCAAGTTTGGGAGTTCTCTGTGCATCAAGAAACTTAATTAAAAATAACAAATGTTGTAATATTTTGTAGACATGTATATAAATAAATACCACAAATTTCAATTGTGATTTTATGTATTTTTGCAACTGTTAAAAAATAAATAGTGCAATCATTAGTGGTAACACAAATAGGACTGTGGCTTTTTGAAATGGGTTCCTACATCTATCACAAAAGCTGCCACCTTGGAAAACTAGGGAAACATTTGCTGTTTTTTACTGTCTGACCATCAGCAATGGAAGGGGGAAAAATCCACTATTTTTTTAGTGTCAGGTTTTCAAGAAATCATAGCCAGTTTAATTACAGTAAAACATCTTCAGCATGTGAACTTGCTTCACCCTCTCAGGGTGAAGACTGAGCATGAAGCATACGTCACGTATACCAATATTTGTACGTTTGTGAAAAAGCTAAAAATTAGCTCAGATTACATGAACAGCCCTTAAAACACAGTTACAGGTTTAAATTTTTACATGTTACATTTTTAAAGTAAACATTACCAAAAGTTAGTTAATTTATGAAAAAGAAAGTAATAAATCACAGCTGAATTTTAAAAAATAAAAGAAAAACAACATCATGACATGGGAAAAATCTATTTGGTTTGCATCACTGAGTATCTTAAAAGACTACTCAATGAAACCAGCTTTGTAACATACTATTTCATGGTCAAGAATGCTTTTTGTTAGATGTGTATATGTGATGAATGATACAAACAGGTACTTAGGCAGTCAGACTCCCAAGAAGTATGAGTATTTTCAAAGTGGGTTACTGACCAAAACAATTCTTTGTGAGCTATAATTTAAGAACTAAAAGATAGTGAAGAATGACCTCTGCATATTCCAACAAAGAATCACTAGTTCAGATTTTCACCTGGCTTTAAAATACTAAGCTTTGGAAAAACCACAAAAGTTTTATTTTAACCCCATGTTTACAAAAAAGTGAATCATACATGAAAACTGGGTTTTCACCGGGTTTAATACATTAAAATGACATAATCCAATCCTACTCATGCATCACTTTCAGAAACACAGTGCAACTGGAAATATTTTTGCCATCACAGTGGACATTTCTAAAAAGCAAATGCCTATGGGTGCTCCTGAGCCTTCAAAATAATATTAATAATAATAGTAAAAAGAAAAGTAACAGACACCACAGTTCTCTAAGAATGGCTGTGTTCTGCACATTTTGGAAAGATAATAAAAATAGCCTTCTAGAGTTTCAATATGCCTCGTAACATGGATTTCATCTCCCTCAGTTTGCTTGCTGACTTCTTAGATCACATGATTAGAAGCCTGTTTTCATTGCTTCTTTACTAATTGCTGTTGGTACTTTGTAGGCTACACCTTTTAAACTTCTGTAAAGAACATCACAAGCTATTTCATGTAATTTAATTTTGTGCTGAATATTCTTCAAAGAATTTTATAAATAATACAATATTGTAAATGAGTCTTCAAATTCTCTTGTTGTTATACCATATTGTTGCTTTCTCCAACTTTATCTACAAACTGTAAGGAAAAGAAAAGCAGATAATTAAAGAGAGTCTACAGCATTATATAACACTATATCAACATTTTAAATCTTCATTAAATAAATCCAGCTTTACAAGAAAATTTGTGGAAATTTAAAGTATGATTGACAATGATTAATCCAGTATTACTCACCACCATTTTCTGACACATAAAGATATATATTTTTTTCAAAGTTGTTTTTGTATGACATGTTGTACATATGAATTAAGGGTGCAACATGAAAAATGCAACACAATGAATAAAAAAATTGTATAAAATGATGTTAACACTGCTAGCTTAACAAAACAAAACAAAAACAAAAAAACAAAATTGAAATGTCAGCCACTCATGCATTAATGAACCCAATAAGATATTTCAACTGACCATTATTGTGGATCTCTTCGGGGCCTATGTCGTCTTTGAACAAACAGATTTAACTCCATTAAGTTCAATAATTAACAACAGCTATTGACTAAAAATACTTTAAATGTGTATTCTGGACTTCAGACTGAAAGTGGCAATGGCATTAAAAACAGATTTAATGATGCAAAAATTTATAATTATTAAATATAAACTTTAACACACATTAATGTAAATGGTTATTTACTTTGGTTACTCCACCCCAAATAAAAAGTAGTTTGGCTTTCTTCAGCATTCCAGAGGGTAAAGATTGAAACAAAGTATGTAATTTGTGGAGATACTAAAAGTAATATCACCCCAGTGCTTATAATCTTATCAAATTCTAGCAATCATCTATTTCTTTCACTTCACACTTCGTAGTTGTATTTAAATATTTATTATAACTAAGTACTAACGGCAGGAAGCATTATTCTGTCAGGTGTCCATTTATGTAAATACTGCAGAATTCTTAAATTAAGGACACAAATATTGATTACAACTCTTTAAGAAATTTCAGTAAATTCAAGTCATTTCTAAATATAAACATTATTACTATATGAGTCTGAAGATAAATGCAAATGAAATCAGGATATACCCCTATAAGCCTAGGTTTCAACATTTTGTATTATTACAGGTAGGTAATCAACACACCAAAGCTAAAACTTGCTTGGGAAGTATTCATGAATTTGCTAGAATTTTAAAGTAAATTTCAGAGCCCAAAAAGTACAACATTCTCTCTCTAAAGGAAAGATTCCAACTCTAAAATTAACCCATGGATAGAAATGTGATTAGGCTTATAGTGGTATTTATTTTCCTGTGGACAAGCCATCCTTTAGCTCTTTGAGAATTCAATCAATGCTATGGACTTTCTCTTTAGAAACACCTATAAAAAATATGTACATGACTTTAGGAAACTGATGGACTTCCCAAGACATAAACAGAACTTGAGATTCCTAAAATTTGCTTTAATGCCCATTTGTCCTGGTTGTTCAGGATAGACTTGGAACTATGAAATTTCTCCAAAGGAGGTTATGAAGAAGGTTAGGTAATAGAGTTACTTCTGACATGGATCATATCCATAGCCAAAAGGATTGTTCCCAACGCAGATCAACTCCAGATTCTTTTAGGATTTAAGGATCTCATTTAGTTTTAAAATTTATGGAGGCTGACTAAAAAACAGTTATCCAGAACTGTCTTGAGATAGACTAAATTCCCTCAGGGCAACAAAAGATCATCCTTCATTTATTTTTTATTTTATGTGGTGCTGGGGATACAGGGCCTTGTGTACACTAGGCAAATGCTTTATTACTAGGTTACACCCCCCAGTGCATTCATTTAGCAAAAATGTTTTGAGTTTCTATTATATGCCAGCTGTTAGCTGGGCATTAGAATAGAAGAATGATTAAAAATAAAACTCATCTCTGTCCCTGAAGATAAGCCTTTCTCTTGACAATCAAAACAAAGATAATGCTATGATAGAGGCGTGCACAGGGATACTACAGAATCAAACCCCATGCCAGCAATAGCATGTCAGGAAAGATTTTTCTAAGGAAGAAATAAGGAAGTTGAATCCTATAAGGCCTTCTGAGCCCCACTAATAGGTGGGATGACTTAGTACCAAACATTTACTGAAAGAACCTTAATAAAGGGAAGAAAATTCTCTTGTCATTTTTTTTTTTTAAAGAGAGGGGGAGAGAGAGAGAGAATTTTTTTTTAATATTTTACTTTTTAATTATCGGCGGACACAACATTTTGTTTGTAAGTGGTGCTGAGGATCGAACCGAGGCTGCACGCATGCCAGGCGAGCGCGCTACCGCTTGAGCCACATCCCCAGCCCTCTTGTCATTTTTTAAAATGTTTTCTTTAACCCTTACTTCTTATTTGATTTGACTCCTTTATTTTGTCAAGATGAAAGTCAAGGTCTACCAGGGGAAAAAGACATGACCAAGATTGTTCACACTTTGGACAGGGCTGGGAACAGAATCTTGTCAACTGATTTCCAGTGTAAGAGTCTTTATCTAACTTTCTTAATCCATTCAAATTGGTATTACAATCTGAGAAATAAAATAAGTGCTAGACATAATGGTTTCTTTTTTATGTAATTGCTTCTAAAATTAGAGATTATATAAAAGTCAATGGAAAAAACCTTGAACTCTCAAAGAGAAAGGAAGCACAGCATTATCAATCTGAGTAACACTAAAAAATAGAGAATAGTAAAAATGGACACGGTGAAACAAAACTAGGTTTTACAGGCTTAGCAATGTTTATTTTCTGGTATTCTTGGTAACCATGATTTATGTGATATAGTCATTTATATTATAATGAAAAACTTATCAATTAATCATGTACCAATTACTCAAATTTCTAAAGGTAAGAAGCATCAAAAATGTATTCATTTTGGTGGTCTAAAAACACATTGCTAAATACATGATTACTTACTGATCTAATTCCAGGTAAATTTAAGAGGGATCCAAGCACTGGCACTCTTCTAATAAAGCCAACAACCACAGGAAAGAAGCCCCTGGGAGACACAGAAAAAAGGTTCTTATTTCTATTACCAAGATCAAGCACGAATAACTAACTAAAAAGAAATGATGCCATTAAAAATGTGAATGTTTTAGAGAATCATGAATTACTACAAATGTAATGTAAAAACTTTTGACTACTGGTTAAAAACCTGAGAAACAGCATAATGAAGCTTAGCTGTGTTGTACACTCAGATTCTGTATTATCTTGGTTCAACTGCTAAAGATTTCCTCAACCATAGTGAGTTGTACGAGGTAAAACTGATCAAAAGAAAGGAGCTGTGGAGACCATATGTATAGAACCATGAAAGTAATAATTGCTATCATTTACTGAATAAATAGTAAGTGCCAGCATTTAAACGAACAATGACAGACTACCTGTCAGATGGTAATCCTTATACTGTGTCACATTTTTGGGTAGAAATACAAGTCCACAGAAGTACATAGCTTCTAACTAGTTTAATTCTTGATCAGTTAAACGACCACTGTACAGGAAGAGGAAAATAGTTTATTTAAAAAATGCACAAGGAATAAACTTTCTATGGGTCCTAAAGTTAGGCATATAGGGATGAAAATACTACAGTGGATAGAATTCAGAAATGAGCAATAATGAATCTGCAACATATATGGACTAAAAGGATTAAACAGAAAGCAGTAGCTTTTAAATTAGAGAAATAGTTCTTTTATTGATGTTGCATTGTACATGTTTCAAAGACAATTATAATTGTTTTCTAGCAGTATTATATTCAAAAGGATCATTTTATTTTGTTTTAAAATAATTTTTAAATATAAAAATGTTTGATTTCAAATGCTACCATTTAGGATTATAAATATCTGAAAAAAGAATGTCAAAGATCTTTGGCACTATATCTCAAACTAAGAACACCTTAAAATATAAAACCCAACAACAAAAAAGCTTCCCTAAACCATGGAGCCAATGTATCATTCCAAGTTACCAATGATGCTGACCTCTCATCCTTTATTCATCTCAAAGATCACTTTGGCATTTAACTTTTACTACTAAAATTCCTATTGAATGAAGAAAGTTAATGATTTCCCCCCATGGTCCTTAATTAAGGTACTGGTCTTCTGCTGGAACATAATCTGCTATGATGAACTGCTCTTCCTCACCCTCTCCTTTCTTGGCCACTATGATCCTTACTTCTAGTTCTTCTCTGATCTCTTCCAGTGTTTCTTTCTCTTCCCTAAAATGTCAAGGGGTTCTAAGATTCCAATACTATCATTCTATACTCTGTGCTGTATCAAGAGCCTCTTAACTAGCTTCTCAGTCTTCTCTTTTCAATACATGATTTATCCTAAGGTTAGAACAATTTTTCTAGAACACTTACCAGGCTGTATCCATTTATGCTTAAAAATCTTTGTACCCCTCTCTTCCCCAAATACTTGTCCCTAGCACAAATTTGGTAAGAGAATAAAGTAACAAGTCATTCAAAGAAAGTTTGCAACCTGACCCCAAACTTCCTTTTCCGTCTCATTGCCAACCATTTTCTTCCATTTATCACATGCTCTTTTTCTGTCAGACTATTATTTTTAGAACAAGTTGTGACTTTCAAGAGCCTGTCTGCTACTTCTATCAGTCAACTGCCCTTCATTTTCTCATTTATGGGATGAATTCTAACTCATTATTTAAGGTACAGTTTATTTGTTAATATTTCTTACCTCTGCTTGGATTAATTCCTTAATTATACATGCATACATATATATAAAATAACATTATGACTATATATATACATATGTATGTGTATATATATATAATATGTATATTATATATATATAAATAATATTATGACTATCCAGATCTGCTTCGTATCTTTATGGTCTTCTTTCCATATTAGAAATGAGAGATTTCCTAAAGCAGGTTTGGCCCTTAAGTTGTTTTTATGGCTCTTATAATAAAGTGCCCAGTAGACAAAAGACAAAGGATATGCACTGTTTAAACAAATAATTAATGCCAACCTTAATAAAGGTATTTTCTCACATGCATGCTTTTGTTGATTTACTTGCTAACTGCCATTTGTAAAAATATTCATTGATCCAAATCGCCCACAGTTCCTTTGGTACAGGATTTGCTAATATGAATATGTACTAATAAACAAATTACAGTAAAGTGGACTGTCACTTGAACTATGAAGTATCAGTTTTTATATGTTAAAATTCTAGATGTGTCTATCTAGCTATCACTATTTATTTAGTTGATAAAAATATCAACCATAAAGATACTGTTTTAAAATGAATTTTACTGCATTGAAAGTAATTTACAAGACAATTTATACTTATTTAGGCAATCATGTACATTTGGTAAGCATTTTTATAGTTGGTCTAAAACCAAAATAAAAAATTCAACCTAAACCACAATTCATTAAAGGAAATGATCATATTACTGACACTGATATATGTACCTGAGATTTTACAATAATTATCTGATATGCCAGTTTATTGAAAGAGAAAATAAAATCATTGCCTTACCTGAACAAGAGAAAGAATCCATAAATTTCGAAGATCATGCCTATCAAAGGCCAACCAATAAGGACTACAAATACACCACCTAGGAAAAATCCTGTAGCTTTCATTTTATGTTTTTGGAAGAAGAATCTGAATGTTCTTTCTAAACCAATTACAAAAGCCAAGCCAGCCACAAATAAAACCTAGAAGAGAAAGAAATGCAACACAGGAAAAGTAGTTAACCACACAGCATAAATTTAGGTCAATGCTAAATATAATAAAAAGAAGGACATTTGACTTTTAACATGGGCAGCTGGCCAAGAGAACAACCAAGAAAGAAAACCAAGGAGTGGGTTTAAGCATGTTGAAATTGTAGCTGTATTCCACTCATCTCATTCCTTTTCTATTTGATTAAAAGGAGAAAAAGAGAAACAAAGAAAGATGTTACAAAGGGGCATCTGTGTTTACAGTAGTTTCCTTAGTGTGGCTGGAAGAGGATAGCTTAGTGGAGTGATAAGCTGGCAAGGCTCAGACAGAGAAGCTGCCTATAGACATGTCATTCAAAGGTATTCCTCCTGGTTCCAAAATATTCACATGGGCCAAAAGAGTTTCTATGGATGGGAGAAATATTGACATGACTAGAACACAGTAGAACAGAACACACAATGCAAAGCTAGGAAGGATATTCCAGTTTTATTACTTCTAAAATATCTGCTTGGCATCAGAAATAAAAATACAACCAGGTTTTTAAAAATATACATATATTTTGTATGTTCGGTTCATGAACAAGTAGTGGTGATCTATTAAGAGTCTTCCTTTTCCCGTGTTTTATTTTGAAATACTTCCCTTTCCCATTGTTCTTCACTAGTGAAAACTACTTCACACAGATGTATATTAAGCCTAACAGTTCAGCTTCATATTCTTATGTACAAATGCTGTTTATGTTATCATTTATTAAAAGACCAATTTTGGTGTCCTTTAAATGTACTTCAAAAGAAATGTAATCATTATTCAGTAACTTTATTGCCTTCTTAGGAGGGTTATTACTTCTGGAGCTCTTATACAACCCCCACACGTGGACAGTGCACTACACAGTCCAAATAGCACATAACCTTTCTAAGCAAATCAATTAATAACACAGTGGTATATTTTAAAAGGTTTAAAAGGTTATTAAAAATCTGTTTATTTCATGCAGCTCAATCAAATCTAAAGCCTCAGATGTTTATAGTCAAAACATTTTAATACATTTACTAAGCCATGGGACTATCAAGGCATCTATTTTGAATGGCCATTTAAAGACAACCTTTACTTAATTTGGTGTAACTTAACAAAATAGTTTTGAAATTAAAACACCTCATTAAGTGTTCATCTTTTATTTAAACAGAAAGCTGACAGGTTGCATTCCTGATAAAAATACAGTATATATTAGTAATTACACAGGAATAAATTATATCTCCCAAATCTGACAGCAGGTAATAATTCATTTGTAGTTAAAAAATTCTTTATGAATTTAGTTAAAATATATATTCCAAAACTCACATTTCCAATAGCCAGTAGTGCTTTGTCAAAAAAGAGAATCATTCCAAAGAACAGGAAAAACACTCCAAATCCTGTTAATCCCATTCCAATTTCTGCAATAAAAGTTATATGGTTAAGGGTAGAGAAAAATTAAAGTCACATTAATATCCCTGTAAACTAAACAAGAATAATTTTCTACTTTTTCTTTTGGCTAATATAAAGAAATCACTGTCCAATATTGCAGGTTAACTTCATAATGACATTCATTCAAATCTCAAACAAATTAAACTGACATCAGCAAATTACCTCAGAATTTAAAACTATGAATGGGAATGCCTAATCCTCATGTAAGGAGACAGAATTTCTTACACTCATAATAGAAAAGATAAATCAGATGTTAAATCTTTGGATTGTATTTTTTCCCTCCTAAAATCCTCTCTGGCATTAAACATAAACATAAAGATTTCCTTTATTTATTGCTTTTCATATTCTATAATTATTACTTATATGTACAATATCTGTACTTCTTAAAATTAATTCCTTCCTCAACTCATTATAAATGTTATAGTAGGTCAACACAATCTACTTCATTCAATTATACGTTGCTTCTCACGGTGACAACAAGAATATTTTGAGATTATGGTAGCTGTTGTTTCAAAAGTTAATTTTTAGAAGGTCAGGCATTATTTTTCACTTTTTGTTAAGACATGGTCTATGTTACCCAGGTTGATCTGAACTCCATGGGCTCCAGTGCTCTGCCTGCTTTGCCTTCCATGTAGCCAGGATTACAGGTGTGTGCCATGCCTAGCTCACTTTCAACTTCTTGATGGCTTATTATGAATTTATCATCTATCAATTTATCTGTACTACGAATCCATTCATCTATTTAAGTTTACAGTCCTAAAATCAACTCTCCAAAATTTCAAATACTGTTTAACCTAATATTAGTATTCTAAATTTTTACTTTATCATTAAACAACAAAGATCAACTATTAAGAGGCCAGGAACTGTTTCACATACTGAATATATAGTGGTGGACAAAGTGTAAGGTTTGACATCTCGGTTCATCTTGCATATAAAATTAGTAGTTTTATTTAGTTTATATTCTTAGGTGTTATCTTTTTAGTTTGAAAGGTCTTAACTTTCTAAGGTGACAGACACACTCTTCTGTTTAAGCTACAAAACATAATCTACTAAGCTACCTCCTTGATCATTTTAGTTTGGTTTTTAGAGAAAACAGCCATTATTTTATCTAAAAGCACTATTAGCATACAGACAATGAGTCAGAGGAGAACCTGTTTTTGGAAACACAATATTAAATATGCTTTAGTGATTTCTTTTCCACATCCCCAGCCCACTCTTAGTGACTTCTAATCTGTTACTTAACCTTTTTGCCTCAGCTCCAGAAAACTAAAATATAGGTCACAGTTACTTCAAAAATTCTTAAGCCACATAAAATGTTCTGATAATTGGAAAATTTATATCAACTTTATCTTTTTCTTTATATCTGACCTCCTAAATTTCCTGATAGCTATTATCTTCTCTTCTAGCCACCTTTTGCTCCCAATGTCAGTCTAAAAGAATTCAGGTCCCTGCCTATAAATACAGAAAAGTTTAAATGCATTCCACCAGTATAAAATTTCAATAAAAAATTGAGGCTAATATTTCATGCTTAAATATCTTAAATGAATTAACAAAAATAACTATTTAGATATTAGATAAAATTTCCTATAGGAAAATATGGGTAAAAGAGCAAGTAAAATTCCATCGTACAACTATTTAGTAGCTGGCATTTAATTATTACAGCTGTTATTAAATGACTAATTTCTATCTTTTCACAAATTATCTTAATGATTACATAAACATTTTAAGATTCTGGCTCATCAGAAAGGAAATGATATAAAAATATACTACGTATTGAGAGTTTACCATAAATTAGGCACTATATGGTTTTTTACACAGCTTATATAAATTAATCATCCCAACACTACTAGAATGTAGAGATAATGAAATCATGTTAGAGATGGAGGAAACTGAAATTCAGAAAGGTGACTTAAGTTGCCCCAAGTCACACTTTTGGTTAAATATTTTAGCCAGGTCTATCTGAACTCAAAGCCCATATGATTAACTATTATTAACTATTATAAATACTTCCACCCACAGGATGGATGGGTGTATGTGTACATATGTGTGTGTGTTTGTATTCTCAGTTTAAATACATTTGGTAAAATGAAACTCAAGGATATTGGAGTACACTGAACTTTGGGAAAAACACACTTAGGTGATTTAAATTTGATATTAGTTTATACACTAGATCTATTAAAAATTGACTGCAGTGAAAGAGGACAACATCTGATAAATGGCTTATTGGTTAAGAGTTGTTTATACAGTATCTGGTAATTCCTTTAATAAAATTGTGAGGTAAACAGTGCAATGGCCCCTTGTTTCATATGGACAACCAAGGACTCAGAGAGATTAAGTGATTTGTCCTGGAACATACAATCAGCAGAAATCTTTGTGTGTGATACTGGTATAGAGTCAACTTAGAATGAAGGTCTGGTCTTCTCACTTTCTAGCCAATGGTCCTACAATTACAACACAGGAAACAAAACATCCCTACTGCTTTATTCAGTATAAGTCAGAAGGGAACAGCTGTTTGTAACACCTTAGCCAAAACTAGCCCTGGCATGATGTTCCCAAGTATTGTCAGATCTACATAGGCCCAAAGACTCAAAATGGTCTCATTACCCTTTCTCATTTCCAGAATTCCTTTCCTCCCCATCATTACCCATTCAGAAGCCCTGTAAAGCTATTAAAAGCCCTACATAGAGCTGCCTTCTTTCTACTAGAATAATAGTAAAATAAATTTATCTTCCTTTTGTATCTTCATACTCCTACCCTCAAATTTTTTTAAAAAAGTTAACAGATTAATGAAAGCAAACTAAAAAGTAAATTTATTTAACATTAAAAAACCTATTATGGAAGTTTTATAAGAAACAATATGTGTAATCCAATGACAATCACTGCTAGCATTTTAGAACTTATTCATAATTGATTAAAAGGAGCATTGTCTTACTATACTCTTAAAAAAGTCACAAAAAGAATTCAACTGGATATCAATTGTACTAAATAACTCAATTGAATTGAATATCATGATAGAATTTTATGCAATGTGAGAAAATAAAGTGACAAATTGGATACAACATGAACTGGCTCTATCTCATCCTCCTTAATAAATCTTTTTGTTTTTATAGAGTGAAGAAAGTGCTATTATAGAATCCCCTAAGACAATCATGAATTGCTATTTTTATTCTACTCTGATTAGTGTTTGGTCACCCTCTCCTAGAATTGAAATCCCAGAATAATTCTGGCAAATCACTTGAATGATGGCCAATCTTTTGCAGTTAAACACAAACACAATTTGAAACTAATTATTTTATGTTTCAATCTGCTCTCTCACCTAAAACATCTGGTAAGTTAAAAAAAGAGTAAAATTACATCTTTCTCACAAATATAATGAAGTCTGATAACAGACTAAACCAATCCCCCTTGTTTTGGTGTTTGGAAAGGCAGACTAGGCACTCATTCCTATAATAAATCTTCAATAGAAGAGAATCTCTATGCATAGGATAAGTCATATTTTAATATATACATATATATTACAGACTCAGTCCTCATTCTAGGACCTCAAAGTTTTTTTAAGATACTAGTGGAGTACACTGAAAAGAATAAAAAGTTTTTGAGCCAGAAGAACTAGGATCAAGTCTTATTTCTGCTATTTTTCTTATGAATTTCTTTTGTGCCTCATTTAATTTATGAAGGGGTATGCTTCTCTCTGCTTTACATGGCTCATATAAGAATTAACATGATTTATACACATGATAAATCGGAAGAAAATATATAATTATAGTAGACCTAAAGGTCTACACTTACATATTTTCTCTTTTCTCATCAGAGTGGAGTGAGGCTGATGGAACAAAGTGTACCAAAATGGGTAAGCTTCCTGGGCCAGAGCAGGCGGCCCCAAGGTCCAGACCCAGTACAAACTCAGGAGGGAAAAGAACCTGACTGGAGTGGCAGTGTGCGGAAAAGACTTTGAAAGATCTGTTAAGTTCAAGTCTGTCATGACTTGAATCTAAACCTTAAGACTCCATTTTGAAATAGAGCATTTTAAATAAAGTTCCACTTTAACTTGAGGATTGTTAATTCTTATAATCTTGAAAAATTGAGTAAGCGTACTCCCAAAAACGGAAGGCATGGAAGACAAAAGAAAATGAGCCAAAAGAGACTATCATGATCATTAAAAGGTAAGGAAGCACAGAGTTTAAGCAGTTTGTAAATAAAAATAAATTATTAAGATTCACAAGAAGGAATAGAAAATTGGAAATGTTATCTTTCAAGAAAAGGAAACATCGAACCATACAGATGAGATGGGCTTGGAGAATTCTGGCAGGCAGAAAGTGATGCCAAAATAGTAAAACAAGCCATAAAGCATACTATACAATACTAACGAAAGAAATCTTTTAACTGAACATAATGTGTTTTTTTT